TCAAAATTGAAGGTCCCCTGTGTAGGTTTTGTTGAAGGAGTTTAAAATCTTCATCCACATCTTCTGCTCTGAACTTTCCCATTCATAACTGTAATCTGAATTTTTTTTTACAAGTCTTTTATAGTCATATATACCAGTTGCTTCAAGGTCTCACTGTGTCTTATTTGTTTCTTATATATGAGACAGTGGGCAGATATGCATTTAAACTGTAGGAATACAGCTGTCAAGATTTTAAAATGCTATTAACTCATATGGCTGGACTCATACTGTATATCCAATATTTATACAGTATATTCTGTTTATAGTGATGTAGGGCACTTTACATCATCAGATAGAAATAAGCTGTACTGTTCCAAAATTCTACAGTGATAGGAATGCACTTACAGTAGAAGACAAGCTCCTTTACATTTCTGTGTCACTGTTTTCATTTGGTGGCCCCAAAACACTTGAGGAGGTGAGAGCTGCACAGAAAAACAGAAAGCAGAAAATGCAGTGAAGTTACTGTACATCTGCAGTGAGACAGGGAACTGCAAGGAACCCCTATAAAGCAGGTTAACAGAATTCATAGTAGAGGAAAACCAATTTGCTCCATAGCTGAGAGTTTTGCCAGCAGCAGCTGAAGGGCAGCACGTGACAAATCCAGGCATATGTAAACACGTGAAGTCTTTCAGATGGACCAGTTTTGCTTCTAGAGAATAAACTATCTCCATCATATTCAAATGGCTTGTGAATCTCCAAATTAGTATGGAAGTTGGGAAATTAAACAGAGGATCCTAAAAACAATCTCCTCTAGTGCTAGTGTTGCAAGCTTATGTCTGTGAGACTAAAGTTCTTGGACTTTTAGGTCTATTTTGTTGAGAAAAGAGGTAGCGGTGCAAATTAGGCATGAGATTTTTTTCAGAGATGAAAAAGAAGTGACCTTCTTTTGGGTCACAAAAGTGTGGAATTTTCCTATAAAAGTCTCCAAAGTTTTCTTCTAGACATGGGTAATATGAGCTGGTCCTCCCATATCTGAGAACTCCCCGGGAACCCACCAATAATGACTGGATAACCTAGGGACCAGAACACTCATCTTTTAAGTCTGCAGTACCTACAGCATTGCTAGCTTGCTAGAAAAGCTTGAAGAAATATGGGGAAGGAAAAGAGGTTTCTCAAATCAACTTTTGCTTTAGTTGATCTGTTGTTCTGCAGAATCCATTTCACTTTATACAGAAATTCTAACCACAACAAGGCATACATTTGAGTTTCTCTAGGTATGTATTTTACAGCTTATGTGTCCTCTTATCATGGCAACACATCCTCTAAACCCCCTTGGGAGGACAAGCACAACTCTGTGGATAAGTCTTATGCCAGTTGACTGACTAATCTAGCAGCTACCAATAGCTGAAGATTGAGGCACTGATAATTCCTCTGCACCTCAGACAGGGGCAAAGGAGCTAATTTTACTCTGATTGTCTATCAGTTGAGGAAATCCCCAGATGAAGAGCTGTGGTTGTATTTCACTTTTCATACACTACTTGAGTGATGCTCTGGGAACAGAGGAGTGCAAAAAATAAATTGAGCCCTAATTACTCATACTGAACTTGTGGCCTTCTTAAACTATGCTCAACTCAAGAAGCAAACCAGGGTTTAGAGAGACTTCTTCCAGACTTGTTTTAAGACTGCACCATTAGAGGCTGTTCTCACCGAAGTGTCTGCCAAAAACCTCTTGAGTCTGTGTTTAAGGAGCAGTCCTGAGTGGAGGTCCTTCCCTGGTGGTGTGCCAGCATTTTTCCCTTCTTATTAGAAGACTATCTGAAGATCTTGGACCAGTTCCACACTTAAACTCCTAGCATCTTTATTGTCTATCTGTCCTTGCAATATGATAGGCCAGAAACTTTTATTGTCTGGCCTTTTGTAAGTCTTGTTTCACAATCCGGGTAATATAGATCTCTCAGTTTCACATTTCCACTTCTGTAATGGTTTTTTTATATTCAATTGTATGTCTTGGGGTTGATTTCTGCAGCTCCTGCCTATGCTTCATGCAGTTTTTCATCTAATCTGCAATTGTTATCTATACTCTCAATCAGCTCATCTCTCTTTATTAGTAATAGATCCAGTCAGATCTTATGTTTGCATACACTCTAGGATGGTAATGTTTTGTCTTGCCAGCAGACAGAGATTTTAAAGTTGTGATAACCTATATGCTTGTCTGAGGGATGTGAAAATAGTGTTATGAATGTTGTTTATGAAAACTGGGGTCTGCAACCTTCAGTTGTTTTCACACACTGTAGCTGACTGTCCTCAAAGAAGTGACAAGCAGAATAGTTGGTGTTGGCAAACCCATCTGATCCTAACTAACTAACCAGGAAAATCCTCAGCGTTTTGCCTCAATTACCTCTATGTAGATACCACTTTGAGGACAGTTTTATTTAAATCATTCTACACTTTCTTTTCTCCATTTTAAACTCTGATTATACCTTATTTCCTCTTCCTAAGTTTTTCTTCTACTGACCATGCACTATGCATAAATATTCTTTGTAGGGAAATTAGTGAGCTATTTGTTGTTAATTTTTTATGTCTTAGTTTTTGTGCCTAGTACATAATGATCCACTTACATCTCAACTTGCATGCTCTAACATCCACTTTCAACTTCTTCTCTTTCCTGCCAACAAATCAAGTTTATTTTCTAATAACTTAAAATACCTCCTTTTATCCTTAAATCTCTAAAGATGCTTTCCTCCTTCTTTGTTAATTAATCCTCTCTGTTTCCAAGGATCCTCTCCTTAGGATTGTGCCTGTCTCCTTCTGTGCCATGTTCTCCTCTGAGATGCTACAGGTTGGTGCCTCTGTCCCCCTCCCATTCCTGAGCATGGCAGTAGAAGGATGCCAGCTTGCCCAAAAGGGGCTCTCGGCCAGTTTTTGAGCAAGTGTTTTGAAAACTAGTTAGGCAGTTTTCCCACTGTAGACAGGCTCGTGGAAAGACATTAATTACTCATTGCAGGCTTAACTGTGGGCAGGAAAAGGGGGCTTTTGTGCAATTGTCAAACCCTCACCATTATTTCTACATGTTGGTTTTGTATTTAATAGGATTACATGACTTCTTTGCTCTATATGCCAAAATGGATGGTTCCTTTCAGTAATAAAACAAAGCCAATAACCTGAAAGGAACCATGGCTCAAAAGCACAAACTTGACCTCTGAGTGACCTTGACATTTACAGACTAAAAAGAACTTTTCTTTGAACAGGCAGAAGTCAGGGAGCCAGCAAGAACCAGGAGAAAATGGTTTTGTTGCTTTCTGATTACATTGTTTAAACCAACATACTACATGGTTTACAATACTTCATTACAATGTATTAGGGCTTGGAGGTGATTTAATGTCTGTTTATAACTGAGACTAATCTTGAAATAAACAAATGAATGTTTGGAAAATGGATGAAGCTGTTCTGCCAGAGACAGCGTTAAATGCATCTCTGAAGAGTAAATCATGACTGTAGAGCACTTAAATGCTTTTTATTTCTACCTTCAGTTGTATTTCAGTAGTTTTATCTAACAAAATTAATCATGGTGCAGTAAAAGATTTCTAATTGGTTAGGACTGCCTAGCAGCCATACATTCTATAACAAATCCACAATTTAAAAACTGTTTAGCCCTTTAAAATCAGAGAAAAAGATAAACTAGTATATGCTGTAGCATTATACTAGGCACCATGGTGATCTAAATTAAATCTGTTACAACCTGTTCTAATTTAAAATTGCTCTGTTGTGTGAATGAAGGGGAAAAGAAGAAGAGTTAGTTCACTTATTAAAAGCATTTTCATATTCCCAGATAAATCTTTCATCCACCCTGCTTTTGCTTGTGGGCTGTATATTCCCATTTCCTTTGTGCATCCCCTGCATAACTACACATAAATGGGGCTTCAGACGGAGTCAAGAACTCTTTCTCCAGTGGCTCGGTATCAGTTCTGGTCTCCATCAGCCAAGAACAAGCAGGAGTGTCACCATCGGATGCCCAGCTGCTCCGACACTCAGAAGCTCCTCTGCTCTGCAGTGCTGAGGCAGAGACCTCACTACAGGAGGTTGCTCCAGTTTCTTCTCCCAAAGGATAACTGCAGCACTCATCCTGCCATACATCTCTGCAAGCAACTCCTTGGGCACTTCTGCCTTCTCCCTGTCCTGCCTGTCCTACCACCTATTCATGGGCCCCAGGTACTGCCCAGCACATTTCTTCTAACACCTGACTCATTTCAAAAACGCCTTGAATTTCCCGAAGTATCAGCCACTAAACAGTTAACGCTTGATTTAAAAGGCGGGGGGCGAAATAAAAAAGTGAAGTCTCATGGCCGCTCCAGCCGCAGCACCCACCCACACCCTTCCGGTTGCCGGCTGGAGGGAGCGGGAGCCGGGAGCCGGGAGCGGGAACCGGGAGCCGGAGCCGGGAGCGGGAGCTGGGAGCCGGGAGCGGGAGCCGGGAGCGGGAGCCCGGAGCCGGGAGCCCGGAGCCGGGAGCGGGAGCCGGGAGCGAGAGCCGGGAGCGGGAGCCGGGAGCCGGGAGGGGGAGCCGGGAGCCGGGAGGGGGAGCCGGGAGCCGGGAGGGGGAGCCGGGAGCGGGGAGCCGGGAGCCGGAGCCGGGAGCGGGAGCCGGGAGCCGGGAGCGGGAGCCGGGAGCCGGGAGCGGGAGCGGGAGCCGGGAGCCGGGAGCGGGAGCCGGGAGCCGGGGCCGGGAGCGGGAGCCGGGAGCCGGGGCCGGGAGCGGGAGCCGGGAGCGGGAGCCGGGAGCCGGGAGCCGGAGCCGGGAGCCGGGAGCCGGGAGCGGGAGCGGGAGCGGGGAGCCGGGGGCCGGGAGCGGGGAGCCGGGAGCGGGGAGCGGGAGCCGGGAGCGGGAGCCGCGGGCCGGGGGCCGGGAGCCGGGAGCGGGAGCCGGGAGCGGGAGCCGGGGGCCGGGAGCGGGAGCCGGGAGCTGGAGCCGGGAGCGGGAGCCGGGAGGCGGGAGCTGGGGGCCGGGAGCCGGGAGCGGGAGCCGGGAGCGCGGGCTGGAGCGGCGGGAGCGGGGCGCTCCTGCTCCGCCGTGCCCGCGCCGCCTGCCGACGCCTGGCGCCGGAGAACCGGGCTCTGTTCGCCACCACAGCGGGCATGGCTCAGCAGGACTGCTTCACCTGCCTACCTCACCACATCCTACACCCGCTTTGGGGTCCCGAGCTTTGACGGTGCGCTTGCTTGCGCTGTAGTGGATGCTAAATACCGTGACTGCTCTTTCTTAGTGCGAGGGTTCTAAAGGTCTGGTCCTACAGCGAGGCAGCATCAACATTTGCACTTCATACATTTCTGTCTCTGTATGCCTTCCTGCCTGCCACTCTGTTTGCCATGCAAACACAAGTGGCAGAAGTCTCAAGAATATTTGAATTTTTTTCAAACTTGAAAAGTAGTCAACCACGTGAATGTCCCGCAAAGAGGAAGCTTGCAATGTAAGCCGGTACGTTCATTAGCATCAATAAGTGCTGGGAAAGGACATTAGCTACACAGAACATATTTCAAGTGGTTCTTGCACATTCCTAGGTTTTAAAGCTGACCACCTCTGAGCCACAAACATAGACTTTCTTGTCACCAGCTCACAGACCTCTTTGTATCCTAAAATGATAGAATGGTTCGGGTTGGAAGACACTTTAAAGATCATCTAGTTTGAAACCCCCTGCTGTTAGCAGGGACACTTTCCTCTACACCAGGTTGCTTAGAGCTCCATCCAACCTGGCCTTAAACACTTCCAGGGAATGGACATCCACAACTTCTCTGGACAATCTGTTCCAGTGTCTCACTACCCTCACAATAAAGCATTTCTTCCTAATATATAACCTGAACCTTCTCTCTTTAGTTTGAATCCATTCTCCCTTGTCACTACAGGCTCTTGTAAAAAGTCCCTCTCCATCATTCTTGTAGGATCCTTTCAGGTACTGGAAGGCCACAATTAGGTCACCCCAAAGCCTTCTCTTCTCCAGGCTGAACAATCCCAATTCTCTCAGCATTTCCTCACAGGAGAGGTGCTCCATCCCTTTAACCACCTCGGTTGCCTCCTCTGGACTCCCTCCAACAGGTTCATGTCCTTCCTGTGCTGGAGACCCCAGAGCTGGACACAGCACTGCAGGAGGGATCTCAGCAGAGGGGAGCAGAGAGGCAGAATCCCCTTCCTTGGCCTTTGGCTGCCCAGACTCTTTCTGATGTAGCCCAAAACACATTTGGCATTCTGGGCTGCCAGTGAACATTGTTGGATCATGTCCAGCTTTTCATCCACCAGCACGCCCAAGTCCTTCCGGGCAGGGCTGCTCTTGGTCTGTTCATCCCCCAGCCTGTATTAACTGCTATGTCTAAATACACACTAGCAGTGTTCTGAATTTACAGTGAAAACAGATGAGATCAGGCACATTTTTGCATGTGTAGTTTGTTTGGTTTTTTTTTCCCTTTGCTCCCATGTTAGTTTTTCCCCCTGTGTAATTCATTAGATACTATTATCTTAGTTCCTGTTAAATCTCTTTTAGAGGTTGATGTTTTAACTTACCAGCTTGAGCCCTAGACTGCTGACAGGTTACGCTGCAGAAAGCAGTGAAATTATCATGGACTGAGTTGGCACTGTATTTTTTCTAAGGCACTGCATGATGAAAATAAATCATGTTGCCCCCCTGGCATGATCCACTAATGAAGATGCACGTCCTCTTGCCCTGTCTTCTTACTGGATATAAGTGAGAGCCCTTCCTCTATCTTTTTTCTTCATTTCCACTGTGGAAGAAGCTTTCTAATTCTGCACATCAGTTTGCTTAGCAATATTGCTGTTGCCTAATGCAATAAAAATCAGTTATGTAACTGCCTTTGCTAGACTTGCAGAGAGCATTCACCAGACACGAACATGGCCACAGTATCTTTATGCTTTCATTATGCCTCCTATATTTGCTGTTATTATACAATATGCTCTGCTTTCAGTATATTTTTAAAAATAATTTTCCTTGACATCATGTTTAGAATATTATACACTTAAAATCTAAGCTCATGCAAAGACAGAGAGAGGGAAAGAAATAAGCTTATTTGGATTTATTGCTAAAAGGGCTGATATTATAGCACTAGTGCCTCCGAGGAACAAAGAATCGCCTACAGGTTGTCAGACAGTATTCTTAATACTCTAATTCTGAACCAAATTCCTAAAATAACCTGTGTTTGCAGATTACCGTGTGCTCTTTTGTTCTGAATAATGTCTTGCTTAGTGAACTGTGTCTTATCAATCCACCAAGTACTGGGTGTCATTGTTCACCTCATTCACAATTCATCTTTTAATTAACATTATCACAGGAAAAATTCTATTTTGGTCAGCATAATTTGTCTTTGGAATTGGCAGTACAGAAATAAGAGAATTACCATCTGAATTTATCTGAAGACTATGAAGGAGATGGTGACTACAAACCTACCTCATCTGGCACTGAAAAGGAAGGGAGGGAAACCATGTAAATGATAATGGCTTTTAAAATTGTATTTGCTATGTAAAAATCACTACTTTGGTCATTCAGTATCTACTAAGCAAACAGTTTCATCAAAATTACTGTTACTGAAAATACAAACCGGAATTCTACATTTAGATACACGCTTTTTTTTAGTGGAAAGGGTTGCTGACTTAGGGAAGATTTAGGAGATACAAATGTCTTTTCAAAGTGATGGTTTTAGATATAGGTATGTAATATCAACTTCATGCAGCAAAATGCTGATCATTTGCTTTAGTAGTTAAACTTCAAATTAAGTTGCAAGTGCATCATTGTTTTAGTGAACAGCCACAGAAGTGTTTTTAAAAAGTTTTTTTAACTGTACCAGGCAACATTCCACAAAGAATTGAAACATTTCTGAATCCTTCTCACAAGACTCACCTTTCATAATGATTTCCAGAAAACTCCATTAAATAGCATGTTGTTTTCCTGAGTCTTCTTTATAGACATTTATCCCTGCAGTCTAGATATGCAGTATTTTTATATTTACATTCAAATTAATACAATGATGTCAAATCAACTGCATCAAAGGTACAGTGAACACACCAGCAAACCAGCTGCTTAAAAATTCCCTCCAACATCCCTTTACCTCTTGATTTCTTCCATTTCTAATTACAAATGCAACAGGCCCTGAAGATGATCACGTTCCAGCAGCATTCAGCCAGGATAACAAGAATTATTGTATGCTGAGCCTTCTGGAGTGTGCCCTACTGGAGGTCCTTTCAAACCAGCTGGGCTTCAGCTTGGCTGCCATGGCTGAGTTCTGGTGCAGTGTTCTAGAGGGTGTTTCATTAATACCTTCTAAAACAGATTTAAGAAAGGAACCATCAGTATCCCCTGTGACAATTAATATTTCCTCAGTTATGCCTATTGTGCTGGTTTAGGATGGAGTAGAGTTATTTTTCTTCCCAGTGGTTCTCTAGTATGGGGCTCTATTTTGGATTTATGCTGAACACAGTGTTGATAATATGGAGATGTTTTTTGTAATTGCTGAGCAGGGCTTACACAGAGCCAAGGTCTTTTCTGTTTTTTGTGCTGCCATGCTGGTAAGGAAGTTGTGGGTGCATGGGGTATTGGGAGGAGACACAGCTGGGACAGGTGACCTCGACTGACCAAAGGGACATTCCAGACCATTGGATGTCATGCTCAGTGTATAAAGTGGGGGCCAGCAGGAACAGGGAGGAACTTTTTGAGTGACGGTGTTTGTCTTTCCAAATAAATGCTCAATGTGATTGAGCCCTGCTTTCCTGGAGATAGCTGAACAGCTGCCTGCCCTTAGGAAGTAGTGGATTGATTCCTTGTTTTTATTTGTTTATGAGTGCAGCTTTTGCTTTACCCATTAAATTTGCTTTATCTCAAGTCACAAGTTTTCTACCTTTTACCCTCCCAATTATTTCCCCAATCCTACTGGTTGGGGCTAAGCAAGTGGCTGTGTGTTGCTTGGTTGCTGTCTGGGGTTCAACCAGGGCACCTTTTTACATTGTGTTCCTAATGGACACAGCATTTATTAGAAATGCTGGACCTCAATTAAGTTAATTGAACCCCAGTCAAACTACCATTTAGGATTTGGTTTCTTTATTTTTTTCCCCTTTTTGTTTTTTAATGGCAGAGGCAAGCAGTGCTTGAACAGACAGGTCAGGAGATGAAAGAGGGATAGATGACGTGCATCTTTCATAACCATGGTCTGTAGCATTCTATGGGCTATCTTCTGTGTTGAAAGCATGGTGAGACCCAGAAACATCTCAACTAGAGCAGAGAAATGCCATGAAAGTTTACTATTAACCCTACTGAAACATTAAAATTGCCTTGATTTCTCTTTTTCAGTTTCTATCTGATAATAGACTTGGTAAGAATTAGGCTTTTTGGCAGAAGATAAAGGCAGTCTCTTAAACCTTAATTATTACTCCTGAGTTTGAATGGTGTCTTTGCTTATGAAGTAAATCACACAGGCTAAATGTTATGGAGAATTCTTCCCAAAGTTGTAAAAAAAAAAAAATACTCAGGAAGTCGTTATGTTCATATTGAAATAATGGCTTTGCAGGCTAATTTCTGTTTGTGTTGCCCACTTTACTAGGTAAAATAAGATGCCTTTCACACTAGTAAACTCCAGGATTTTTCTAACATTTTCTTCATGCAGCCCAGAAAGGGAAACAATTAAGTCATACAGCTTTCCTTCACCCTGCAGTATTTTCCAAAGAAGACTCATGTTCTGTATTCCTTAGGCATGCACAGTGCATGAATGAGAAACAGTGTGGGCTTTAATGATCTTCTAAGGAATATATAATTATTTTCTGTGTTTTAAGAACAATTACTTAAGAAATGGCAGAGGAGATAAAAATAAATACAGTAAAATATGTACCCTGCATATAGGAATGGTACATACAAAAGGAATTTATACTTATTCTTGGGAAATTTGATATGTAAATTATTAATTGAGGGGAGAATGAGGAGAAGGGAGAGGAAAGGAGATAAAAAAAGGGAAGAAGCAACTATGCATATTCACTGTGAGAATGCTTACCAAGTTTTAAGGAATATAAGATGTGAAGTGTCACTCACTCACAGCGCACAGCTTTGCTATAACTTAGCACTGTTTGGCAAAGGCAACATTTCAAGATGCCTTCAGCTGCAGGCACCTGCAGGCAGTTATGACTTGGTCTGCCTTTCCTACATGTTTATTCCCCTCCCATGCATTGTCTAGATTTGGAAGTGTAAATTCTCCAGAGCAGAGATTTCCTCAGCAGGATTTGCTAGGTTAGGGTCCTGTTGGACAGGTCCTTATCTCAGCCATGAAGGCTGATAGGATGTGCGAGGTCAAAATAGTACTCGTTTGTGCATGATGCTTATGTCCATGCAGAAGCTGCCAGCAAGTGAAGGAAGGTGTGTTTTAAAAACCTCAGCACGCTCAGGCGCCCATGGCTGCAGGCACGGTCAGACACGTCTGCTTGGTTTGGGCCCAGCTGTAATTACAGAGGTGCAAGGCAAGCCCATGGGTACAGCAGTGGTACAACAGGTTTTCAGAAAGGCCTCGTAAAATGCCGAGCCTGTATGTGCTGAAAAGGAGTTATGGAGGATGATTGTTTCCTGGGTTTGGTGGTGGTGACTTGTTTTTTGAGAGGCAGACTGGCATCCTCATTTGAGTGAGCAAGCCATGCCTCAGTTTGGGTCATCCCCTGGAAGCGGAGCAACAGAATTTATGGCTTCTGCTATTTAGTAAAACTTGTCTTAAAGCCACAGTTACCATGTTCATATAATTTACTGGTTTATTTTCTTTCCACCCACATTGAATGTTGGAGGCTTCCAGGAAGCCCTCACTGCCCACTGGCAGTGCTGACAAGG